ACTTATTCTCTATTAAATGCAAAGTCTTGTAATGTGCAGAAAACACTCCACAGCATCTTTCTTGACAGAGAACTAGCGCTGCCAGTCCACCCACAGCCTAAAGCTCAGCCATTCTGAAGAAGTAGCTAAGAGTGGCAGCAAGATATTTCAAAAAAGAATCTGATCTCTGACCTTCTTTAGGATGGTCCTGGTGGGCAAAAGGTGACATCCGCACCGTATCTGGCATATAGAAGTAGGACCTTCTCCTATTTTTAAAGGACATATTTCACAAGCATACCATTAACCTGTATTTCTAAGCAAAGAGTCTTTGGCAGGTCCAGGTAATATATATTTTCCTTTCCCAGGGAGACTGGCAGTCTATCTTTTTTGGAAAACACATATTGTGGAGAAAATTGGGCAATGATCAGTCTGTTAGTAACATCCGCTTCCTTTAGAAAAGGAAAATATGTTGCAAAGGCAGGATTTTCCCAAATGTCACAATAACAGAAGTTAAAATGTAAGCCAATATATAATCCATTTAATATCCACACCCATAATTATCTTTATGTCTTTCCTCTTACTTAATTATTCACAATCCCTTAGTTTAGCTATAAGCCTGATATAAACCATCCTTTCTTTACATGTATGGTGCTTCCTGTTTACAAAATACCTTCAAAGACATGATTTCCTTTGTCTAGTCAACAATGTGAGAGGTAAATATTATGGTTCTTTGACAAATGGCAAAACTGAGGCTGGCAAACATAAGTAAGTCACCTGCCCAAGGGTCACCTAGTAAGTATGAGAGCCTGAATCTGAGCCAGCAGATTTTTTTTTTGGCCTGGAAGCATCTTTCAGATTAAACTAATGTCAATTAACAAGATATTTTAAATGGCCTTGTGGTAGATAGAGTAATCCTCCACCCGCTGGCCAAGGTATCCAAATCCTAATTCGCAGAAACTTTCTCTTGATTAAGTGACATTAAATGGAAAAAAAAAAAAAAAAAAGAAAGACTTTGCAGGTTTATCAAATTAAGAAACTTAAAATGAAAGATTATTCTGGATTATCTATGTGACCCCAAGAGGGAGATGGATGATTCCATGTTAGAGTGATACAATACAAGAAAGACTCTGGAGTCACTGCTGGCTTTGATGATGGGAGGAAGGGGACACCAGCTATGGGACACTGGTGGCCTCTAGGACATGGAAAAGGAAAGGAACAAAGTCTCCAGCTACAGCCTGCAGAAGATATGCAGCATTACGAACAACTGATTTTCACCCAGTGACACCCATCTTGGACCTCTGACTTCCAGAACTGAACATAACAAATTTGTGTTATTTTTAGACATCTAGGGGATGGGGGTGTAGCTCAGTGGTAGAGTATATGCTTTCCATGTGCAAAGCCATAAATTCAACTCCCAGCACCAAAAAAGAAAAGACACTTGAGTTTGTGCTAATTTATGACAAAATAGGAAACGAAGACTAGCACACATACACAAAACTGAGATTAGACTGCTCTAGTCTGCTACATGAATAGTGTCCATATTGTTTGTTTTATATAACAGCCCAATATAGTTTCAGAATACATTTACTTCCAAAAATATATAGATCATTAATTCCTAAACTATATCATATGCTAATCTGTGGCTTCAGTTCTGTTTCCATGTTCAAATTCAGAAAAATTGTGATTTTTCTACAGATCAGTCATTTTAGCCTAAAACAACAACAAAACCATGCCCCAAAATTATCTTTTTGTTTTCACTAATTCTATAATGCCTCAAAATTCTAATTATTATGACTATTTGGGGGGAAAAATCAGTTTTCAGATATTATATAGACCTTGGTTAAAAGTCTACAAATTATGAGAATTTACTGGATAAAAGGGTTTAAATTCCAAGAAGGCAACTGCTGTGATATTTCAGTCATTGCATAAACATGTAAAATAGGAAACCGGGCCTTTTTCTTTTACTTTTTCTTTTTTTTTTTGCATCCCAGTTGTGGTTTTGTTTACATAATATGTCAAGAAAATCAGAGAGAAAAAGAAAAACCCAGAAGATAAGTAAGTGGTAAGTCAGAAGAGCTTAAAAGAAAACTAACAAAAATATTTCAAAGCCAAATTTCACAAATCCAAATGATAATAAATTTTACATTGAGGTTTCCATTTTTTTATGCTTGCTAAAATATAAACATTATTCAGGAAGCAAAGCTGAAAGTAAGCTTGCCATCTTGGATTGAACTCCAGAGGTGGGGGCAGTGTCTAACAGCACATTTCTATTTACGAATTGTTTTTTTCTTAAGGATGCATACATATATAAAAAATTCTAGAAGGATAAATTGCTGTGATAAGAGACATTGCCTCTGGGTAAGCTAGTTTAAGAATCCTGTTTTTCATCTTATCCCCCTTGGACAGACTGAAATTTTTATTATCATGTACATACTTTATTTTTTCAATAAACACAATATGATCTGAAGCCAAATTTCAAAAAACAACAACAAATTTATCTTGAAATATACAAAACTCATGTTATTGAAAACAGAAATATATCAAAACATTTCATCTTATCAAAATTGAACTGCATTTCATTTTATTAATATTCATATTGTATTAGAAGATAAATCCTCTGACCCAGAATATTCTGAATAAGAGGTATTTTTCTATTTGTGTTAAAACTGTGCCTGTTTATAAAACTCTGGAGGTTTTCCAAGTTTTTGTCACATGAAAAAATAAATAGAGTTTAATGTTGATAATTTCAAATGGAAAAGAACCATCGTGACTTGGTTCCTCTTAACAGGATTAATGACTGATCGTCATTTGGCACTCATCCCTCACATGGAATGGAACAGTCTACATCATGATTCCTGTTTCACTGATATAATTCCCAGAAATAATATATTTTTGAACCAGGAGGAAAAAACAATATGGAAAAAAAATGGATTAATTTTATTCAGGCTTATCGTAAAGCATTCTAATCAAAGCAACAAATCAAAAATCATTTAAAAAAGTTGTATAAAACCATTACACTAGGACTAGGGATAAGATTTAGTGGTAGATGGAGTGGGGGCAACTATTAGACTAGAAGAAATGTCACATTATTTCTTTGAGGATTCACTAAATTCATACAAATGTAAATATGTCAGCATACACACATACATATACACCCATACATGCACTTTCATACATCAATATAAATGAACAAAGAATTATGGATATTTAGTTTCAATGATATAAATTAAAACTTAAATTATGCAATTTTTCTCCTTACTATCACAATCCTGACTCTGAAATTTTTCCCTGAAGATAAAATTATCCTGTTACCAGAAAGACAACATACAATTTTCCCAGTGAATTCTGAATAAAAGGGATTTTTGTTTGTTTGTTTTGAGTCACCTAAATCTACTTGAATATAAAAGATTCCTCAGCTGGTTTCTGTAGCACAGCCCAAGGCTTGGAAGAAGTCATGATCAGGGAGCTTAATCTTCCATAATGATCAGTAAGTCATACTTCAATCTGGCCGACAGAGAAATGACAAAAAGCTTTCTGGGCCTATGATCTCCTTTTTCTTAGAAGAAATGCAAAACCACATTAATAGATGTCCCTTAAATTTCTGCACCAACACTATCAATTTAAATTGGAAGACATCTAAAGCAATGAAAATGATATATTTTTTAATTAATTAATTTTTAATTAGGTATATGTGAGAGCAGAATGCATTTTGATTCATTGTACACAATTGCAGCACAACTTTTCATTTCAGTGGTTATACAGGATATAGCATCACACCATATATGCAGTCATACATGTACCTAGGGTAATGATGGATATCTCATTCTACCATCTTTCCTGCCCCCATGCACCCTCCCCTTTGCCCAATCATAGTTCCTCCATTTTTCACATGCCTCCCCTCCCCGCTTTATGGATCAGCATCCATTTATCAGAGAGAACATTCGGCCTTTGGTTTTGGGGGATTTGCTTATTCACTTAGCATGATATTCTCCAACTCCATCCATTTACCTGCAAATGCTATAATTTTGTTCCCTTTTAATACTGAGTAGTATTCCATATTGTGTGTGTGTGTGTGTGTATCACAGTTTCTTTATCCATTCATCTATTGAGAGGCATCTAGGTTGCTTACACAGTTTAGCTATTGTGAACTGAACTGCTATAAAAATTGATGTGGCTACATTACTATAGTATGCTGATTTTAAGTTCTTTGGGAATAGATTGAGGAGTGGGATAGCTGAGTCAAATGGTGGTTCTATTCCAAGTTTTCTAAGTAATCTCCATACTGCTTTCCAGATTGATTACACCAATTTGCAATCCCACCAGCAGTGTATGAATGTGCCTTTTCCTATACATCCTCATCAACACTTATTATTGACTGTATTCTTTTTATTTGTATGTGGTGCTGAGGATCGAACCCAGCACCGCGCGCATTCCAGGCAAGCACACTACCGCTTGAGCCACATCCCCAGCCCCTATTGTCTGTATTCTTGATAACTGCCATTCTGACTAGCATGAGATGAAATCTTAGAGTAGTTTTAATTTACATTTCTCTCATTACTAGAGATGTTGAACATTTTTTCATATATTTCTTGATCAAATGTATATCTTCTTCTGAGAAATGTCTGTCCTTAGCCCATTTATTAATTGGGTTGTTTGTTTTTGTTGTTGTTGTTAAATTTTTTGAGTTCTTTATACATCCTGGATATTAGTGCTCTAATGTGTGTGTGGCAAAAATTTATCCCAAAACGTAGGCTCTCTCCTCACCTCATTGATTGTTTCTTTTGCTGAGACGAAGCTTTTTAGTTTGAGTCCAGAAATGATGTAGTTTTAATGCTTTCTTATGCCACAAAATTATGGAGGAAATCATACACAAATTATTTGTTCTTATACAACTATCCCTGAGGGTCAGTGGTGATTATATTCATTACTTTATTAACACAACGAATATTACTTTAAAAAAACATTTTTAAAAAAAACAAATAATGTAAATTAAGAGAACAGGCCACAGTATCAACATTTACCTGTTGCATCAAATTCAATTGGTTGGCACCGGCGGCTAGAAGACCAGTCACATTTGAGCACTTGCCCTCCTTCTACAATTCCAGGCTGGGTAGTGTTTGCTTTGGGAGCTCCCACCAGAAGAAACATCCTACTAAAATACAAAAGGAATGGACAATATTTTAATTGACACCAAGCATCAGCAATATCTTATAATTTATGAGGAGGAATCATTCTCTTGATATTATCCACAACTACTTTTTAAAAACTACTCACAGAGGGCATAATTTTCCTTGTTCATTTGGTATTCTCTTACATACATGTACTATTTGGTCTACTTCATCTAAAAAATATCACATGATAACTTCAGGGCTACATTCATTTAAAAATGCACATTGGTCAAATTGTACACTTTAAATATGTACAAATTATTGTATGTCACATATCTCAATAAAGCTGTTTCAAAAACGTATGCTACCTAAAGTCAAGGAAGTTTTATGTCAATTTATGTGATCTGATATTCATTTTTTGAATTTAAATGTAATTTTAATGGTATATAAAAATTGTGTATATTTATGAGGCTCTGTGATACATTTTGACACAAGTATACTTTATGTAATATTTAAATCAGAGTGAACATATTTATCTCCACAAGCATTTTATCATTTCTGTTAGGTGAAAACATGCACATTTCTTTCTTCTAGCTTTTTGAAGTATAGAGTACACTGTTATCTATAGTCACCCTACAGTGCAACAAAACACCAGAACTTCCTACACCTAATTGTAATTTAGTGCCCTGTTATGTACTTTCTATATTTTGCAGAGCAAAATAAATAAGTCTACATAGATTATTACAAAGTATGATAATTATAAATATTACCATTTTTCCATTTTTAAAAAATTATCTTTGTTTAGAACGATTGTATCTCGATCCTTTCATTTAATGGTGACTGAAAAATTTCTCTTCACAAGAGTAATCTAGTGGCTTTCTGGTCAAAGACTATGTATGACTACTATTTCATTTTTTATTAGCGTAATTATTAGCGTAAAATAAATTGAAGACAAAATAATCAGTAGCCAAAAATCTTAAGTATAAGAAAATGCTGTCTTTTGTTGTGTTTTATTCATTCAAAAAAGGTGTGAACTGAGTATCTCCTCTACATAAAGGCAGTGCAAACTAGGGACACCTGCTTTCAGTGGGGTGCACATTCCCTTGGAGGCAAGAAACTAGCCAACAAAGAAACAAATTACTCATATTATAATGAAGAGAACCAACAATTGGCCAAGAAAGATTATACGGGAATAGGGAGAGGAGATCTTCTTCAGATAAAGGAAAGTTCTCTCTAAGGGATGAAGGAGAGCAGAGTTCCTTAAGATAACAGGAATTTTTTCTAGGGAAGCTGTCTTTAAAGAATGAGGAAGAGAAGCCTCCTTAAGAAAACGCAGTCAGGGAAATGATCTTCCAGAAACTCACAATAAATTGAGGTAAACAACCGGCTGGGGTTGTGACTCAGTGGCAGAGCGCTTGCCTAGCACATGCAAGGTCCTGGATTCCATCCTCAACACCACATAAAAATAAATAAAGGTATTGTGTCCAACTACAACTAAAAAGTAAAATGTTTTTAAAAAAAAATGGATAAACAAGATTCTAAAGTGGGCCTTCAGGAGCATCAGGGTGAGGGAAGAGCAGAGAAGAAATGTGGGATGAGGGAGTGGGAGGAAGTGGTTGATGCGGGAACCCCAAGCAAGACAGAAAGATCCCAGGCAGGAAAGTATTTAGTCTGCAGGAGTTACAGGAGAAAAGGTGTGGCTGGAATGAGAGCAAGCTGGGAGTGGCACAGAAAAACAGTTTGGGAGTCTGGCACAAGTCATTTGCAACCTTAAGAAAACTAAATTTCATGCCCTTTGGGGAAAGCATTAGGAAGGGAATACAGCGAGGTATGGTGGTACACTCTGGTAATCCCAGCTACTCTGCAGGCTGAAAGAGATCACAAATTTGAGGTCCAACCTGTGGCTATGTAGGGAGACCCTGTCTCCAAAAAAAAGAAAAGAAAAGAAAAAGAGAAAGAAAGAGAAGAATCATCTGGGCACAGTGGCACACGCCTATAATCCCAGAGGCTCAGGAGGATCTCAAGTTCAAAGCCAGCCTCAGAAAAAACAAGGGCCTAAGCAACTCTGTGAGACCCTGTCTCTAAATAAAATACAAAATAGGGCTGGGGATGTGGCTCAGTGGTCGAATGCTCCCCAAGTTCAATCCCCAGTACCAAAAATAAAGAGAAAAATAGAACAAGGAAAGCAAGAGATCTGCAACAGTGCCGGGAGGTGACAGTGACCTGCAGTAGGAAGGTGGGTGGAGAGAGGAAGGTGGGCAGATTGAAGAAATCTGCAGTAGAATAAACAGGGAGAGTGGGTGGCTCTGAAGATGGGAGAAAGGGATATTTCTTGCATGCATGGATTCGAGGGAAGCTTATAGAGTCTAGGAGTGGAAGGCAGATTAAGTATTTACAGGAAATCATGAATTTAGCTCAGTATGTCAACTTGAGATGTCTGAGACACCTAATTGGTAGCCTGGAGCTCTGAGGAGAGCTCTGCCTGAGAAATAGTGTGCTGACAGTATCAGATCATAAAACAGATGAGTTCACCCCGGAGGAGCTTTAGAGAGAAGTCATCCTAGGAGAACACTCCAAAGAGGAACTACTCTCAGGAATTCAGAGGAGAAAGAGGATACAGTGGAGACTCTCAGTCTTCTAAAGAAACTGATTGAGATGCAGAGGAAGAAAAAACAGGATATGGGTAGACACAGCACTAAGTAAATGCTATGTCATTATCATTCATTTCCTTAAATGCTGAGTATATTTACAATTGTTTTCCCCTTTTGTGAAATTATGAGCAAACCTATATTTTAAATGTGAAATGCACTAATTTTAATTTTCTTAAGTTCAATTTCAATTTCATTTATTCTGGACAGGAGCTACCGAATTTCATCTAGACTAGACAAATAACTGGCTGTGTGAATTACTAGTTATAAGCATCTTCCTGTCTGACACTTATCTTGAAACCTGCAAGTTGAAAATAAAAATGAAACTCACAAGCAAACCACGCCCTGTTTAATAAAGCTTTATGCAGTCATATTTGGCATCAATAATACACCAATGCTGGGTCTCTTCCATTATAACAAAATAATTCTGGTTAGGAAATCAACTTAGTTTTCATTCAGTAAGAATCTTTCATAAGTAAAAAAAATTAGGATTGAGTAAATAAACTGCCACCTACTCCTACTCCTGACCCTTACCCCCCACACGCATACCACAACCCCCTTATTCTTTTCCTAGAGCAGAGCCGATTTACATAGCCAAATTACATATGTATGTGAATTTACATTTATGTAAATATATAAATTATATGTATAATGTTCTTTTCTTTCAGTAGGTTAAAACTTTGACCACAGGGCTGGTGATGTAGCTCAGTAAGAGAGTACTTGCCTAGCATGAAAGTCTAGTGCTAGTTATAGCTCCACCACCATTAAAGAAAAAATGATCACAAAAATCACAAAACTGTCCATCATTTGAATTAAATATTTTTTTCCTGTATATCTTGAGGAAAAATAACATTTCACACAAGTGTGCATTTCGAGGGCTATACCTTGAAAAGGGATTGGGTCATTTATGCAGTAGTCCTAAGAAGGGTAATACACAGGTATGGACATGTTTTGAGTGTTGTGGACCATACCAGGCTCCAGGAAGTTAGGACTAGATTACAGAATCTGTCTTGAAACCTATATTCAAATTAATTTCTAGATTGATATCAATTATCACTTTATAGAACCATTTATAATGTTTTGTCAAAAGTATTGTTCCCACCTTATGATAAATTGCTTCTTCGAATATAGGGGGCTCTAATTCACCCTTATGCCTGCCACATATATAAGTTCATAATGGAGTAACAAGCAAATTTAATAATTATAGTTCTCAAACTAATCACATATTTTTAAAAAGTAATTTTCCAATATGCTCTAATATTCCTAGGATGTAGAAACCATCCTCTACTAAATGTCCAACCATTTAATTATCCTTAAAACAATTTCCCTATTCAAAAATTTTATTCAAAGACAGATACAGTGGTGGGAGCAGTGACACATGTCTGTAATCCCAGCAGCTCGGGAGGCTGAGGCAGGAGGATCAAGAGTTCAAAGCCAGCTTCAGCAAAAGCCAGGTGCTAAGCAACTCAATGAGACCCTAAATAAAATATAAAATAGGGCTGGAGATTTGGCTCAGTGGTGAAGTGCCCCTGAGTTCAATCCCTGGGTACACCGCCCCCGCCCCCCCCAAAAAAAGACAGGTATGGTGATGCACACCCATAATCCCAGCAACTCAGAGGGCTAAACCAGGAGGATGAAAGTTGGAGGCCAGTCTCAGCAACTTAGCAAGGTCCTAAGCAATTTAAGAGACCTTATCTCAAAATAAAAAATAGAAAAATCACTGGGGGATGTAGCACAGTGGTAAAGCACCCCAGGTTCAATTCCCAGCACCCAAAACCAAAAAAAAAAAAAAAAAAAAACTAAACTCTATTCAATTTTGGACTCTAGATATCTTCTTTACTTGGCACCATGAGACAGAAAGAGCTGGGAAGATTTTAAGCCTTCAGCAAAGACAGAAGAAAGGACGCAGTAGGAGAGTCCTCGGAATGAAAACAGCACTGTGTTGGCAGCACATAGCTTGAGTTCCTTGAATAAGACCACAAACAAGGCTGCCGCTTTTCATCAGACCATTTGCACATTATAAGCATGAAATGACAGTAATTAGATGTACTAATATGGATGCTCACCCAGCTTTCCTAAACATACCTTCATGTGTAGTCTTGTATACTGGTGAAATACACAAAAAAATAGTAGAATAATATCAAAGGAATACCTAAATGCTAGCCTACTAGAAGAAAACAGCAAAAGATACTTTAATTACTTTTAAGATATTTAAGCATTTTTTAAAAGAGAGAAACAGAGAGATGGAGAAAGTAAGACTACCTTAGACATATGTTAAAGTCTTAAGAGATAGCTTTGTAGTGAAAAAAATAAATATTTGCATAGAATAAAACATACAGAATGGTAAAAGATGTTATCTGAGAAAATTAAGGAATAGAAAAAGCAATACATGTTGC